GAACAGGTTGATACAGGAAAACATGACAAAAAGTTGATTTGTGGGTTAAGTCTTAACATATAGAATGTTCTCTGACTTTTAAACAACCATATACAGATAGTTTTGAATACATCTGTTTGGAACAAAATTGAATGCGCACAAGATTGCTCTCAAGATTGAATTGCTGTAGTATTAATTCTTTCCTTTCTGTATTGTACTGTTTTGTCTTTAACTAATAAAATTGACTAACATTGGTTATTTTCTCTCCTGAATAATGTCAATGTAACCTGGGTCAGTGGGGCAGATGAAAAAGGAGGAAAATATTCTTTCCAGGTAGATGAGAGACGGGGAAGACTGCAGTGTGTTTCCCTCACCAATAAAGAGTGTGTGTGTTGACCCTTGTGATTGGACAAATCCTGGGAGATGGAAGGCTGACTAAGCCAATAAGAGGGGGGATGAGAGGAAGATGGCCCTGCCAGAGGGAATCATAGAATCATAGGATTGGAAAGGACCTCAAGAGGTCGTCTAGTCCAGTCCCCTGCACTCAAGGCAGGACTAAGTATTATCTAGTCCCTTCCTGAAAGGTGTTTGTCTAACCTGCTCTTAAAAATCTCCAATGACGGAGATTCCACAACCTCCCTAGGCAATTTATTCCAGTGGTTAATGACTCTGACAGTTAGGAAGTTTTTCCTAATGTCCAACCTAAACCACCCTTGCTGCAATTTAAGCCCATTGCTTCGTGTCCTATCCTCAGAAGTTAATGAGAACAATTTACCTCCCTCCCCAGAAGAGGAAGCCCTCTGTGCCCTGACACCATCTTATATGTACTTGAAAACTGTTATGTCCCCTCTCAGTCTCCTCTTCTCCACACTAAACAGACCCAGTTTTTTATCTTTCCTCATAGGTCATGTTTTCTAGACCTTTAATCATTTTTGTTGCTCTTCTCTGGACTTTCTCCAATTTGTCCACATCTTTCCTGAGATGTGACGCCCAGAACTGGGCACAATACTCCAGTTGAGGCCTAGTCAGTGCAGAATAGAGCAGAAGAATTACTTCTTGTGTCTTGCTAACAACACTCCTGCTAATACATCTCAGAATGATGTTTGCTTTTTTTGCAACAGTGTTACACAGTTGACTCATATTTTGCTTGTGATCCACTATGACCCCCAGATCCCTTTCTGCAGTACTCCTTCCTAGGCAGTCATTTCCCATTTTGTATGTGTACAATTGACTGTTCCTTCCTAAGTGGAATACTTTGCATTTGTCCTTATTGAATTTTATTCTATTTACTTCAGACCATTTCTCCAGTTTGTCCAGATCATTTTAAATTTTAATCCTATCCTCCAAAGCTCTTGCTACCTCTCCCAGCTTGGTATCATCTGCAAACTTTATAAGTGTACTCTCTATGCCATTATCTACATCATTGATGAAGATATTGAAGAGATATGGACCCAGAACTGATCCCTGCGGGACTCCACTCAATATGCACTTCCAGTAGGGATGCAGGAATAATTTGTATAGTGGGGGTGCTGAGAGCCATTGAATCAAACTGTGAATCCTGTATATAATGGAAACCACTTCAAGCCAGTGGGTATGGCAGCACCCCTAGTTCCAGCACCTAAGCCTTCCAGCTTGACTGTGAACCACTGATAACTACTCTCTGGGAATGGTTTTCAACCAGTTATGCACCCACCTTATCGTAGGTCCATCTAGGTTGTATTTCCCAAGTTTGTTTTTATATTCAACACCCCAAAATGTGCAAGGTGCCTCAGAGAACTTACAGGACATGTAGTCCCTGCCCTGAAGAACTTACACTCTGAATTGGCAAGACAGATAAGGATATGGGAAGGAGATATAACATACAAGCTAAGCATCTGAGGGAATACTGGGCACATGTCTTGTTAGTTCTCTCATTCTTTCCTAATCTGAACTGCTGTCCTGGCTTCCCTACTCCCTCATCAATACATTTTGTTAAATAGGTCTTCATTCACTCTTCCCACCCATCCAATACATTGAGGACTCAGTCTGGGATATCAGGAGGAAAAACAAAAAAATGAATCAGCCAGTGCTAAAACTAAGGGTAAAATTTTCAGAAGTTCCTAAGTAGTCGAGGAGCTAAAGCCATGTCTACATTACAACTTTGGTCGACGCAAGTTATGTTGGTGTACAGCCATTAAAGTTTGTATAACACTCAGGTGTGTACATACTTGTCAGCACTATGATATTCAGCAGGAGAACTTGTGGCGGCGCAAAGTGCACCACAGGCAGTTAACCCAGTGTGCCACCTGCCACCATCTAATGAAATACCTTTTAGGACCTTTTTGCAACATTGCACGGGATAGAAATGACTTGCTCAGGTATCTCCAGGACCTAGGGGGTCAAGTTTGTAGCAGGCAACTTTCTCTATCTCAGAACGCCATCTGTATCCCATAATTTTTGCACTTTTAAAAAAAAAATCCACAAACCTGCATATCACTTTTTACTGCCTATCTTCTCTAACAGAAGCTTGGAGCCCACAACGCTCTGCCCTAGTCTCATCAACACTGCAAATATGGGATGCATGATTCCCATTTTTTTTTTTTTTTTTTTTGCAGACCTGCATGAAGAACCGCAACAAGGGGGAATATGATGATTTCTTGGAGGACAGCTTGCTGAGGGTCATATCAAAAAGAATTCAAACTTTTGGATGTGAAAGGCCACATTCCTAGATCTGTGTGCTGAGCTCCCCTTTGAGCACACAGACACCTGAATGACATCACTGGAGAAGTGAGTGGCTTGCAGTGCTGGACTGCTACTGGTCAGTGGGCAATCATTTTGGAGTTGGGAAATCCACAGTGAGTGCCATCATCATGCAGGTGTGTAGGACCATTAATCATCTCTTCTTGCACAGGACAGTGACTCTGGGCAATGTGCAGGACATAGTGCATGGATTTGCAGCAATGAGGTTCTTGAACTGCAGAGGGGCAATAGATGGCATGCACATCTCTACTTCAGCAGCAGATCACCTTGCTACAGAGTGCATCAACAGAAAAGGCTGCTTTTCTATGGTTATGCAAGCATTGATGGATCACAAGGGACACTTCACTGATATTCATGTGGGCGACTCTCACATCCTAAGAACACAGGACTGTTCAGAAAGTTGCAAGCATGGGCATTCTTTCCCAACGAGCAGATTACCATTGGAGACGCCAAATTGAAATGCCAATAGTGATGCTGGGGGACCTTGCTCCCCTGGCTCATGAAGCCATGCACTGGCCACCTTGACAGCACCAAAGGAAGATTCAGCTATCAGCTCACAGATGCACAATGATTATTGAATGTGCTTTTGGTAGATTGAAGGGACAGCTGCCCATTGCATCCTGCATCCTGTCAGTGAGGCAAAGTGGGAAAAGCTGCTGCCAGCGGGGTAGGCAGAGGTGAAGCAGCTGTCTGCTGACTTTGAACAGCCAGACACAAAGACCACATTACAAGACCTCAACATGGAGCTATGCAGTTGATGGAGGCTTCAAAAGAGCTCTTTAACGGTCAGTCACACTAATGTTCTCTATTTGCCTATTCTCTGGTCCTGAAGCTTTGAGAGTGTTAGGAATTGTGTTGTGCTTGCTGTACATTTATAGCCTTCACTGTGTGTTTTACTGAAGTTATGGATTATGCAGTGCTTGCTGTACATTTACAAATATGACTTGGTGTTTTCCTGAACCTCTAAGCTCTGCGGTGTCATACATGTACAAGCATTGTATGCTTTGAGCCCCACTATGCATTCTGCAATCTGTGTTGTACACTAATAAAGATGAAATTATTTAAAAAAAAATAGAAATGTTTTGAGTTACAGTACAGAAAACCAATGTGCAGAAAACCACTGGCCATGCAATATAAACTTTTAACATAGATTAATGGAACAGAACTTTACAGCAGACATTTCTGTCCATCGCAGTGCACAAATATTGCCTGTTGCAACTACACATACACCAACCATATTTCTTGCAGATCAGTATATAGGAAGCTGTAGTTTGCCTTGCTGTCCCATGGAGTGATTAGGGGTAAAGATGTGTCCCTTGATGCCACGTGGTATGTTGGGGAGCATAGGTAGCTGCTGCCATGGAGTTCTCTAAGGACTGCAAAAGATGGGGAGACTGCAATTTTTGGACCTGTAGGTCAACCAGGGTCTGCAGCATTTGTGTTTGCTGCCTGAGAAACCCCATGATGTCCTGGTGCATCTCCCCCTCTTTTTCCGGATGGTACTCGCTCTTGTCTGCTCATTCCTTCTCCATGCAGTCTGCCCCCCTGATCAGCTCCCCCCCCTCGCCCCCAAAGCCTCCCCCTGCCACGATCAGCTGTTCAGCGGTGTGCAGGATGTGGTGCCAGGCAGGGATAGGAGCAGGGGCAGGGCATGCTCGGGGGAGCATGCGGAACAGGGCAGGAAGAGACAGGGCAAGGATGGAGCGGGGACGGAAAGAGGCAGGTGGGGGGTAAGAAGGAGTGGAGTGGGGATGAGGCATGGGGTGGAGCAGGGTTTGAGCACCCCCTGGCAACTCAGAAAGATGGTGCCACTGATCCAATGCAGCACTGGCTTTCAGGATCTAACTGAACAGTACTCCCTAGTCCTTTTCTTTCTCCTTCTCCTCAGAGTCAGTCACGCTGCAGGTGGGGGTGAGGGGGGCACCCCTCAAGGCTTCAAAGGCAGCAACTGCTAATAAGAGCTGATGGATTGGATTGTACCAGTGGACTTACAGTCACAAAAGAAAGGAAAAGATAAGTTTCAAAACTCCCTTCCTTTCTTCCCATAAAAACTTTTAATAAGACATGCTTATTGACAGCTTTGGAGTGCCTCTACAGAACACTGCTCTCCAGCTGCAGCCATGGTGCATATGGCCCCACCATGGTGAAGAAGGGGAAGGAATTATGGTTGCATGAAAGACTAAAATTTTGTTCCCTATTCCATGGGTACAAGTATAGGGCAATGGGCTGGGTGCCATCTTTCCTTTTAAGCATTATAAGGAAAAATGCATGCACACACTTACCCCAAGGTCCCTTCCCCTTCATCGCACTCTTCTTGCTTGGTTGGCAGGAGTGACTAGACTGTGATGGAGTCTTGAACAGGTCCTGACTTGTGGCATGGCTGGACCCCTGCCATGTCTGCCCCGTCCTCCTCCGTGCTGTTCACAGCAGAATTCTCTGTCTCAGGTTCCTCCAACGTATCCACAGTGATCTGCAGGGGGTTGTCATGGTCAACTGGTCAGTTGCACATAACAAGGGAGAGCTGCTAGGTATGCTCACCAAGCTGGGCAATCAGGAAAAGGCATTTCAAAAATACCTGGGGAGGTTTTAAAGGGAGGGATGGTGGCTTCCAGTCTCCATGACCCCAGTGTTTACAATGGTGACCAGAGTAGTCACTGTCGCAGGGAATGGGGCATTGTGGAACCGCTGCTGGAGAACTGTTAGAGTCCACACAGGTCTACACTTGCACTGCATTGACATTAGTAGGTCCATCATGGCTCTACACCACTCAAGGAGGTAGTTTTACTGTGTCAAGATTATGGAGCACTTCCATTGGCCAGACTGAAATCTGAATGTAGACACATGCACAAATAGGTTGAGGCAAGGAAACTTATGTCACCTAACTGTGTAGTGTAGACCAGGCCTAAGTCCTATTTTCAAATATGATTCATGCACTTAAAAGCTTAAGTTCTAGTGGGATGTAGGCTTCTAAATACCCGAGGCCTGGTCTATACTAAAACTTAGGATGACCTAGCTATAGCACTTGGAGATGTTTCACACCCCTGAGAGGTGTAGTTAAGCTGACCTAAGTCCTGGTGTAGACACAGCTAGGTCAATAGAAGAATTCTTCCGTCAACCTAGCTACCACCTCACTGTAGCAAGTGTCTACACCACCGTGTTACAGCAGTATAGCTGCTTACTACAGAATTCTTCCTTTGACCTAGCTACATCTACAGTGGGAGTTAGGTCAACATCACTGTCGCATAGGGTGTGAAATATTAGATTAATTTCTTTTGCTATTAGAATTTCTTTTGCTATTAAATATGTCACAGCCCAGAGCAATATAGCTAAATCAACTTAAGTTTTAGGTGCAGACCAGGCCTGAGGCACCTAAGTCACTTCGGTGCTTTTGAAAATTTTAGCCAAAGTGTCCAAATGTGTCTCCTTCATCCTAGTGGGAAAGCCCTCACAGCAGAGTCATGCCCTAGAATTTCTGGTGGCTCTTATTGTACAGTACTATGGAAGCAGGGCGGGGGGAGGGGGGCAGTTGCATGATTGATGTTGTGGTTTGCTATGCTTTTACATTTCTTACAGGTGTTAACGGTTCTAGTAGAATATAAACTACAAAACCTCACTCACCTTCTGGGGGTTTTGTTACTTTTATTTCGTTGAATTAAAAAATGAACTACTCATGCTGACCAGATTTCCTACTCCTAAAGAGTCTAATTACCTGGTTAACAAACCCCTCCCTGAACATGCCTTCACCCATATTTACTGAAAGGCTTTTCTGTGGCGCTCACTGAATGTAGAGTTTGAGTACCTCACAAATGTAAATGAATGAATGCATCTTCACAACCCCTACCTGTGAGATAGATTTTATATTATCTCCATTTTATAAATACTGAACTGAACCTCAGAGAGGTTAAGAACAATATTTGCAAAAGTATCCATTAATTTTATGTGCCCAACTTAGGCTGGATTTTCAGAAAGACTAAGCTTCGACACAGTCCATTGATTTCAATTGCTACAGCCTGATTCAGAGGAAAAACACACTGTGCTCTTTCATGGAGACTTGACTTTTCTTTTTTCTTATTTTTCTTCATTAATCTTAAATAAAAGGAGGGAAGTGCTGGGAGGGAGGAGAGTTTGCTGGGTCTGATTTGCCACTCCCTTGCATCTTGTGTGGTTGTTTACAATTGTGCAGAGTAAGTGTGAAGTGCTAACACATTTAATTCTCCACTCACATACATCAGTCTTGATGCATGAGTACACGACATACAAGATGCAAGTAACATCCTTTGTAACTTCATTTCAGTGGAATGACACCGGTGTAAAACAGGAGTAATGGAAAGAGAATCAGGCCCACTTAATTTAAGAGCAGGATAGCAAATGGGGAAGCAGTTTAGACCATCAGGGTACATAGGAAGAAAGGGAGAGGAAGGGGTAGCTTATATATGTATAATAAATTCATGCATTATATAAATAAAGGCACTACCATCACCACAGATTCGCTTGTAAACTATATTGCTTTCCCATACTCCTTGTCTGGTTTGTCTGTTTGGACTCTAAACTCTTTGGGGCAGTTCCTGCATGTCTCTACAGTTCCTAACACATTTTGGATGCTACTAAACAACAATAATAAAATATATGCCAGTGGTATTGTAAATGTGTCTATAATCAATTTTCATCATCACAAAAGGTTAACAGTGGGATAACTTAAGGTCACATTCAAGGAAACATTGTGTAATATATTTATTAATGATCTACAAAGGGAGGATGAGCAGCAAAGGAGCAAAATTTGCTGATGACACCAAGTTATTTGGCATAGGGCACATCTACACTACTAAATTAAGTCGACTTAACTTACATTGGAATACAACCGCCACAGTAATTAGATCGTTTGTGCATGTCTACACTTTGCTTCTTGTGTCAGTGGTGTGCGTCCTCACCAGGAGCACTTGCGCCGATTGAACTGTCAGTCTGGGGCATTGTGGGATGGCTTCTGAAAGCCAGCAACAGTCGATGTAAGCAACGCAGTGTCTGTGCTGACATTGCATTGACCTAACTACATCGATACTGACTCTACGCCACTCGTGGAGGTGGCATTAGTAAGTCAGTGTAGTGGGTGAGTTACGCTGGGGGGGAGCAAAATTTTAGTGTGGACACTTACAGAGTTATGTCAGTGTAAGCTGTCTTGCATCAATCTATCTTAGGGCAGGTCTTCACTACGGGGGGGGGCGGTTCGATTTAAGATACGCAAATTCAGCTATGCGAATAGCGTAGCTGAATTCGACGTATCGGAGCCGACTTACCCCGCTGTGAGGATGGCGGCAAAATCGACCTCCGCGGCTCCCTGTCGACGGCGCTTACTCCTACCTCTGCTGGTGGAGTAAGTGCGTCGATTCAGGGATCGACTGTCGCGTCCCGACGAGACGCGATAATTCGATCCCTGAGAAATCGATTTCTACCCGCCGATTCAGGCGGCTAGTGTAGACCTAGCCTCAGTCAAGGCCACAAAAGACAGTGAGGAACTTAAGAGATGACCTATTCAAGCTAGGTGATGGGGCAAGATGATGACAGATGAACTTCAATTTAATAACTGCAAAATAATGCACATTTGAGGGGAAAACTGAACTATCATACACAGTGGCAGATTAGCCTCTGAGCCCACGGGGTCTGGGCCCTGGGGTTCTGGCCAACTGGGGCCTGGTGAGTGGGGCAGGGAAAGCCTCCGCACCTCCCGTCCCTGGCAGAAGTTGCTGGATGGAGGTAACCCCCCAGCAGCCCACCAACCCCCTCCCCATCAGAACCCCCTGGGTTGGGGGAGCCCCTGCAGTGCCCCCCCAACCCTGTCCCTGGTAGAAGCTGTGGGATGGGGGAAGCCTCCCCCCCCAGTGCCCCCAACCCCACCCCCAGCAGAAGCCGTGGGACAGGGGAAACTCCTGCAGCAGTCCCCCCGTCCCCAGTAGGAGCTGTGGGATGGGGGGACTCCCTGCAGCGCCCCCTTATGCCATCCCATGAGAAGCCACGGGATGGGTGATGCCCCCCAACCCCATCCCGATCTGAAGCCCCCCCAGCAGCCCCTGACCCCGTCCCCAGCAGAGGAAGCCCCCAGTGCCCTGACACCATCCTGGCAGAAGCCACGGGGTGGCAGGGGAAGCCCCCACACCTGACCCCACTTTCTGGCAGAAGTGCCGGGCGGTGTGAGAGAAGCCCCAGAGCCCCAACCCTGGTCCCCTGCAGAAGCGTGGGGGATGGCAGGGGAGGTCCCAGCACCCAGATCCCTGGAGTAGCTCTCATTCCCTGCTGCGGCCCTGGGGCTGTGACACAGGGACAGAGCTTCTCTGGTCTTGGGGCTGCAGTGGGGGGCCAGAAAGGAGCAAACAGGTTGTGGGGCTGGCGGAATGGGGGGGACCCTGGGTGCAGCAGGGACAGGGTCCCAGGGAAGGGACAGAAAGGGATGGGGCTGTGAGCAGGGCCACAGGCGGAAGGGGCGGAATGGGGGTGGAACCACAGGCAGAAGGGGTTGGGAGGGGCCACCCACTTGCTCTGGCCCAGGGCCCTGGAAAACCTTAATCCGCCTCTGATCATACACCTTACAGGGTTCTAAATTAACTTTATTAATTCAGAAAAGACATTGCTTTGGATAGCACAGTTGAAGATTTCGCCTCGATGTGCAGCTGCAGATAAAAAAATCAAACAAGAGGATAGGTTACATAAAGAATGGGATGGAGAATAATATGGAAAAAAATTATAATCTGA